AGGCTTCATTATAGCACTGAGCTTATGAAAGCATCGGAATAATATGACACATTACTGATGGACAGTTTCCTACTTACATTTTCTATGAAGCTAGGCTCCCTTTGGCTTTACAATCTCTACAAGCAAATCTCCACAAGCAAATCTCCAGTTTTAATAAAAACAGCCTGGTGAAAACTCATTGCTTGGACAAAAAAGAAAAAAAGGCTCCAAAGGCAGCCCAGTTCTGAAATCTCATCCTCCGAAAACACTACAAGGATGCGACAACACATCCCCACCGCTGAAATGAGAACTCGGAGAGTGTAAATAAAACATCTCATTCACACATCGTATTTACACAAGATGTTAGACCAGCAAGCTGCTTCTACATGACGCTTCACAGGTTAGATCAAAAAAGTACCTAAAAGATTTCTCTTTATCCTCAGCTTAATCTGCTTTAGTTGAAGACAGTCTTGACTAGGCTGTGGCTGTAGACAATTTTGTCTTTCTCACAAGTATTAAGCCTACTACGAAGGGGCTTTTTTTAAAAAGTTACCAATTTGATTTTAAAAATCATGACTATCAAGAATGGAATACAATTCTTACGCCATTTAAAAGGTAACAACTCTTTATATTTAAATATCACAAAGTTGGCAAAACTGATACTTAAATAACAGAAGGTGATCATTTGCATTTCAAAATTCTTCTATCTTGCTTTCCCCTCAATTAGACCAAAACATGTTGATTCACAGGTTTGTGTGCATGTTTGTTTCTTTTTTAAACTTATTTATAGAGCAGAATAATGGCCCCCCTGCTAGGCTGGCATTTGCTCAAGTTTCTGTCCGTGTAAATTGAATCTGTTACTGGAATTTTCCCCCCTTCAGAATACCAAGGCACATTAACCGAGAGATAAAGAGATACATTGCTGATACTATCAGCCACCAGGCAGGTGGATAATGTGGGAGATTTTTTGTTAGTTTTTGTGGGGTTTTTTGGACAAATATGTGATAAGAGTTCTCGGGAGGCATGGAGAGCAAAGGGCTGTTTAAACAGAAGTGAATCATTCTCATCTGATCTGCTAATAACTTTGTATTCAGACATCAGCTGCTTAGCGCACTTTAAAACATTCAGAAAACAAAGTTACTATAAAGAGGAGGAAAGTTAAAAAAAAAAAATAACCAACCACCACGTAAACCTCACATTAGTCACCTTAACCGTATTAACACAGCAGAAAATCTCAGTTACAACTGCTTCATTTCTTCTTTAAAAGCAAATAGGTTATTCTTGGCCAAAACCCCCACGGTTTTACTTGAAGTGGTGTTGAGTTTATAGGGGATGATTTATAATCCATCATTTCCCTTGTGGGTTAGAGAAACAACATTTGACTTATCATAGGTGAACAGCAAAGATTTAGTTTGGCCATTAATCAAAGTATAGCACAGGCGCTACTTTTAAGCATGAGCAGATAGCTTTGTTGTTGCAGTAGTTGGTTCAGCATGAACTTTTTTTTTATTGAGTAGAGCTATGAAGGAGTAAAAACAGTTATCCAGCTTTACTGACAGATTCAACAGCAGTATAACACACCACGACTCTGAGTTTGCGAGTACAATTCTTGATATGCAAATCATTACAAATAAACCGCATCTTCTGTCTCCAGTTCTTATGTGAAGTTAGGCAAATTAGAGCCAGCAAGTGCAACAGCAAAATCCATTAATGGTACAATGCCACCTGCCGTCAATAGTGGAGAAGCACCACTTCTTGCAACAGATTTAGCCCTGCTTTTAATTTATGCACGATATAAAATGACAATTGCTATTTCATACAAAATTAATTATATTGCTAGCAGGGAATGGCATGCAGCTTTTTAAACTATCTCTTCCCTCATCTTTTTGACACTTCTCCATTTATAACATTTGCATTTGTTCTATTATTTTATATATACACTGCATAATCTCTTTTCTACATATGCCACCAAATTGCCTCTCTGCTTTTCGTAGGATAGCAAGAGCTGAGCAAGCCCTTGCTATTCACCATGGCAAGGATCTCATCACTGTTTCTGTACCAATACTACCTTGCTTTGCTTTCACACAAGGTTACAACCTGGGGTACTGAAAACCTCCAATACAAAATCCTAGATTGTGCAAGCAAGCTCCGTGTAGTTGGACCTCTATTCTCCCCTGGGTCTGAAAAGCTTCAACATTAATGTATTATCATCCCTAGCCCTCATTAGATTCCGATATATACACTGTAGAATCTAGACTCCATGTTTTCCTTCAACCAATAAAGCAACTTAAAATTTAAATATGTCCTCAGGCACTTCACTACTAAGCACTTGACAGCTTGTGCTATAAAAAAGTAACACCCAAAACCTTATCAATTAAAAAGAAAAAATTGTTTCAAATACATTTTTACATCTTTCACATAACTCTGCAATACAATGTCCTACTTAAATTGAAGATATCCTGCAATCTGTTTAAATTTCACATTCATCCTCTCCTTTTTCTGTCTCCAAAATTTGCTACTCAAAAATCAATGCATAAAAAGAACTGTATCCCAAGACTCATCATCTGTTGTCTCCAACACCTGACCCTAAAGACAGTTTTGAAAGAGACATCTTCCCTTTCTTGCATACTTTTAACAAGTGCATTTATCTTGTATTATTATAAGAAATCATAAGACCTGATGAAATTACTTGTTCATGAGTACAAGACTGCAGCCCTTCCTTCAGAAGGAAAAAAGCAAGCTATGAGAAACATTTACAATCAGTTTTAAAAAGCAACTTAAAAAGAATAAAAAACCCCAAACTTGCCAAGTTCTCTTAGTGTACTGAACTGAAGCACAAGTGTAATTTCCAAAATCCTTATTCCAAGAAGCAGCTCGAGGAGCAATGCTATCATGATAAAGGGGAGACATGGTTTCCAGGGACATGGTACACTCCTTAAAATGAAAAATTATCATCTAAGGTTGGGGTTTTTTTCCTGTAACATCAGAGCCTAAAGAAAGCCCACTAACATGATTATTTTTTTAATAGGGATCAAAAGTTCTAGAGCAAGATTTGCCAGCAGCAGCAGCCTTAAAAAACTGCTTTGGGCTCAGCTATATACCATTTTTGAAGCTACAGGTATTAGATCAATGCTTAGAATAGAATGGCACTTGGCTCCAAAATATATTTTGTACTACTAAGTTCTACCAAGTATTACTCTCCTACACAAAAATTAGTATGAAATAGCTACACTAAAATAAGAGTACACTTTGCAGAAATAACATTAAGATCAAGAAACATGAAAGGTAAGAATCATAGAGCAGTATCAGTCCAGCCATCTTGCATATATAATATTTGCATTTGCAAATCTTCATCTTGGAGCTCACCAGTTACAGATACACAAAGCAAACCGCAGCTTGGGGTAGTGCAAAGAGGGCAGAGAGGAGAGGGAAACTTAACCAAGAAAAGCCCGGATGGATACCACACACCTGTGCTGTGAGGTGGAAATTATGATGGCATGGAAAACTTTATTCTTGCATTTGGGGACTTCTAAATATTATTTCAGCTGCCCCCTAAACACTTAATTACTGCAGGAGTTGGTTGGCTGGGGCTTAGGGGGCAAAAAAAGCCTCTCTTTGGATCCTCATTAAAATACAGGAAAATTAAGCTTTGACTTTCACAGCTCATTAATGATGACAGGGTGGGAAAAGGCTGCACTTCCATCTTTGCTACTACTCAACTAGGGAGCGCTTTGTACAAGGCTGGTTTAGGGAGGCAGGAAAACGCCTCTTTCTAACAGGACATCACACACGTTGGCAACCAGAACACGTTTCTATTTAGCATCCACAAGAACTGCTGGGATTCCCCAATTTTCTTGTCCTTGAATTGAAAGTGGGGTGAGGGTAGAATGAAGGTGTTGGGTTTGCTTTGACAGGTAAAAAGAATTCTCTTCCGTCCCTTTTGACTTGCACCTGGATAGAAAAGATTTATTTACTATCTCAAGAGGCTGGCATTCAAATTTTTGTTCAGATCCTACCACCTTTATTCACAGAGAGCAGTTCCTTACTGCATTTCAGTTGCAGGACTAAGTCACAGAATAAACACCTGATGCTAAACTAAGCTCAGAACTTCCACTGCTGATAATTCTTACTCTAATTTTTTCTGAGTTCATTTGCAGACTCTGAACTTGAGGACTACCTGCATGCCAAGCTGCAATGCCTAGCCAGACCACACACTCGGTAGAAAGAGTATGTTGGCATTTCAAATTCATAATAAAAAAGAGAAACTGAAAAACTGAATAGCCTCGCTGTAGTCATTTCAGCTCTGAAAGTAGGGGGTTTTTAAGCTAGCTATGAAATTTTTAAAATATGAAGTTAGAAGTAAAGCACCTGATTTTTGGCTGTCACTACATTTGACCACCATATTAGCAGAAAATAAATTGGAAAAAGGCAAAGAGGGAGGGCTTGGTTTCAAGTGCCATCCTTGCTATAAAAACCCAAGAGATATTGATTTTATCACGCTCATGATTGATGAAAGCAGTTCTAAGAAAAGAGCTCTCTAAACTATTTCAAAGCCCACTGTAGCTCATCAAAAATGTCAGAGGCATCTCTGAGCCTATTAGGGTTGTATTTTTCAAACTGCTATGGTTTTTTCCCCCCCATGTTCTTTGCATGTGTAAATTTTTATATTTTTAAGGCTCTTAGTGTCATCTTTTCAGTCTGCCCCTTCTCTCATTTGCTCTTTTCAGTTATCAAGATGTACTCGCATATAGCAAAGTAACTGCAAGAAAACAAAACGTTCCTTAAATTTGCTTAAACAAGACATTCAGTACAATTACACTTTATGGAAATGATCTAACAAACACCACCACAGTTCAGCTATAAAGCAGTTATGAGCCCTCTAGCTTTTTAAGACATTCAGGAAAAAGCAAAGAAAATTCAGATATTGCATGATCTCTAGCTCTATGCTATAGAGGCTCCGTGAGAAAATGAAAGCTGCTAATCTACTTTCCAAGTGAAACATTGTAGGTGATTGCTCTAACCTGGGGCGCAGTACATTCTCTCTATGGCATCGTTGTCACAGGAATCTTCAACCTCCCTCCACCTGCTAAAATACGTTAGCTGAATGTGTCCTAAAAACAAAACGACAGGAGAAATCAAAACATTTTTCCCTTCCATTTTCTGCAGAAGTGAACTGTAATTACTCCTTTTGTAGCTAAAAACAGTATCATTAAGAATAATGGCATCATTAAGTACTAGAAGCTATTACTGGGGGTGAATTTGCTGCACTGATAATGAAGCTCTAGACAGGAAATGAAGATACTAATTACAAGATAAAACGCCTACTCAGTTAATTGGAAGCAACAGCGAATAAAAAGAAATGCATTTGCAAAAGTTCCTGACCTCTATCATTCAATAAGATGTTGTTTGGGTTCAAATCGCGGCACACAATTCCTTCTCTATGTAAAGCATCAAGGGCTACAACCATTTCAGCTGCCCATCTTTGAATGCAATCCTCTGGGATATAAAACCTGGAGGTTATCGCTAATCTTTCGTCGAGGTCCTGAAAAATTTGATGTATTTCCTTCTCCCCTGCTACTGCTATTTTGTCTTCCCTCTTTGGTCCTGCCTTTTTACTTTCAGCTGCTGGTAACAAAGCCGAGTCTGCTTCCTCTTTCCCAAAGTCTTCGGTGTGATCGGAAAACAGCAACACTGCTTCATTTCTTAACGTGTCTCCGTCCAAGCTAACATCTTGAGCACCTGAGAGCGGGTTGGAAACAAATAAGTTTTCTTCTTTGCTTGTCACGTTTAAGGAGCAGGCTCCAAGCCCCTGAAACAGAGCCCCGTCTTCTGAACTACCTACCTCTTGGTCAGATGTAAAGAGGGTCCCAAGAGCTCCCTGAGTGACACCGCTTTGTCCATTTGATTCCTCGTGGGAAGGATCACCCAGTTCAGGTGCCACATGACTTGGCTCTTGATCAAATGCTTTGCATGGCTCTGCAGAATTATTTAATTGTAAGACATCAGGTGTTTCTAATAACTTTACTTCCAAAACGTCCCTATCAGTTTTTGTAAACTTTGTTGGCCTTGACACTGCTGCCTCTTCTGTTTCATCAGACATACCAGGTAAGTTTATTAGGAGATCAGGCCTTCCTTCATCAACGCTATTTACATCATCAAAAGCAGCATCCTTAAAGGAGATAACTGGCACAGAGTCATTTGAACCCCTGCTTACGGTGTCATGAGCTTTCACACCCATTTTGCTCTCTAGGGCATCCAAGCTTCTGTCATGACCTGTGACAGAAAACAATGGCTTCAAAGGCTCCGATTTCAGGTTATATAATTTTTCTCCAAAATCAAGCCCCAGGAGCTCACTAGTGCTATCTTTGCTGTCTATCCTGAAGAGTTCCATGGGGCTGTTCTTTGATTTAGCTAATGAGTCCAGTATCCTAGTAGGGCTAGCTATTTCCGACTCAGCATCATCAATGAAAAGCTTTCGTTCCTGAGATGCAATCTGAGAGGTGAAGCTATCACTGCCAACAACACTGCATCTCTGCAAGCAACTTCTCTCTTTGGTATTTAGACCTTCGCTCTCCAGTTTAACCACCGGTTCCTCATTTAGAGAGCCAGAATCAATTTTTTCTTGCCCGTATTCATTGCATAATGTTAAATAACTAGTAGTGCACTCTTCTTCTGAGCTGGATCCTGAGTCCATCCACTTTGAACTCTCTTGGCCATCTTCCTGGTTGCTGCTGTCATCCTGAGAGCTCGGTGTTAGGCTGCTCTTCAGTGGGACCACCTTCAGCGTGCCCTCCCCATAGCTTTCTCTGGAATCAGTGCTGCTACCAATTTCTTTAGGACTAGGTGTTGGCTGCTCCAGGTAAATTTTAGTTGAACTGGATGTTCTGGGTTCAGGAATTTCAAAGCTTTCTTCAGGACTTCTGTTTAAGAACTTACTGACGTAAGACCACAGTTTTCCTCCTGTAAGAAAAGAGGGGGGGAGGAAATCTCTTAATTTCGCTCAAAACAGAATTGGTTTCATTATGAAACAGGAACATACCCTCATTGTCACAATACACTGTATCTTTATGCCCACAGAGCAAGTTGGATCTGCTATCTCAGGAGGAAATAATTACAACTTGCTTTTCAAGCAGATTTGTATTAATACATAAATATTTAAAGAGCTGCATCTGAGATTAAGCTTCTTTCGATTTTTTTTAAACTTCAGTAAAGTCTCATTTCAGAGTCTGTCTCAAGTTGCATGGTGGTGACTACTCTCCATCTGCTGTCTCAAAATAAAGCAAAAACCAGGGAAGATCAAATGGTTTTGTGCCCATTGCCAGTTCTGCCTGTACTGAATACTTCTGTATCACAGCTTCAAGATCATGAGCAACATTAGGGAAGATGGACGAAAAATTAATTAGCAAGCTTGGTAAAGGGAAGGGAATTACCTCGTATTAGCAGGATGTTTTAAGGATCTGTTTCTCTCTTTGAAGAAGTGGGTTTTGTTAGGTAAATATGGATGTATTTCTCCCTTTAACTTCAAAACTCAAGTCAGTTTTTTATGCCTTGTTGCATTACGCAAGGATTTATCAATACTCTGAGTTACACTGGCCAGTTCCTTCACATCAAAGACTAAGAAAGTTACAGCTCCGAAAGTAATAGTTACATTTAAAAAAATACAAAGTAGGGCTCTCTGTTTCCAAATATTGTACATATAGAAAAAGCTTACAGATTACAAAACATAATTTGCACAAAACAAATCAAGAAGTTACTGCATCTCTTGCACATGCCAAAGAATTTGGCTTAAAGCTAGAAAACCAACTTTGATAACTTACGGAAAAATGCAAAGTCAAGACATTTCAATTTAAAAGATTGTACAGAAATTCTGGAAAATACAGAGGAGTTCTAATAAAATCTTTGTAGAAGAAAAAAAATAATTATCCATCCCACTGGGCATCTGCAAAGTTTTCACTTGTTTTTTTAATTTATTTTTTTTTTTTACTTATTTGGATAAAACAGAGTTTTATATTTTTGCAAAATACAGTCTTTATTAGTTATTTTTAAACACTCCCCATATCAGGCAAAATTCCTTTAGAAAGTACAATAAAAGGAAGAGAGTATTTTTCATTGCCTAGGAACAGGTTCTCTATATTCCCAGGTATTTCAAAAATAACTTACCAAAGGCAGAAAAACCTTGATACTTTAAAAATTAATTTGAATAATATAATGTGGAGTTTTCTTGCCCTGGAGTTTTCTTCCCCCTGGCTAAGACAAGACTTATTTTTGAAGGGGGAGGGAGGGAGAAAATAATATCTTGCTGGCTGTGGTAAAACTAAGTATATTAAAAATATTAAGAGGGAATTTAAAAGCTGGAGTAAAAATGACAATTTAGATGTCTTAATCCACATGGCTTCTGCCATAAGCTACAAACGGACTTAGTAGGTCAGAATAACCCTCGCCACCTTCTAGAAGACGATGAGAAAGGACGTCAGGTAGGCAAACAGGACCAAACAGACACAATGCTCATAGAAAAGGGAACAAGAACTGCTATACTGACCACTGTATTGCATAAACACTTTAAATACCTACCCAAAGATGTATTCAGAATACCTACAAGCATGCCACGCCACAGCAGCAAGACGTGGCTCATCAGTCAGTCCCAGCAGAGCAGCAGCCCTCAGCCCAGAAAAGCCGGCGGCCGCCCCTGGCAGGAACTGACTCTGAGCTTGCCGGGACACAAGCGACCGGCCGCCCTGCATCGGAGAGACCAAGGGCCCTGGCACTGCCAGAAGTGCCTGACGAGCAGGACCCTCCCTCTGTGAGAATCAGTGAGTCCATGATGAAGCCACTTGCCTTAAATACGAGGTGTTACACAGCTGTTCAACAGGGCAAAGGCAGAGCCAGGACACTGCCATGCCTACTCAGCCACGCGGCTTGCACAGGACTTCAGAGTTACCAGTTTTTGAACTGATTTGGTAAAAATATAAAGTTGCTCATCCCATAATCACCAATAATTCTTTTTTTAATATCACATTTTTACATTTATCCATGCTTTTGCTATGGAATGGCAGGGAGAGAAAACAACTGAAAAAAAGAATGAGAGAGCGAGAACATACATTTTTTTTATATATGTGAAAGACTTTCTCCTCTTTTCCACTTTCATCCATGGCAAAAACAGCAACCTAAAAGTTTGATTTTACCCCAAGATTCTGATGGAACAATATGCTTTATAACTATAATTTTCTTTAAAATTTCAATTACTTTAAGTATACAGTGCTTGCAAAATAACTTTGCCCAGTTTATTGACTAGGCATGGAATTATTCAGGGTCATTTCACACCAAACAATAAAATCTCATTTGACAACCATGCCCCTGCTACATTTAATAAAACACAAGGTCTCCCCATTCCACCTGCACCATATTAATTAGTTCAAGCAAATGCTAAATATTTCCATCTTCATATTACTAGTGTTTATTAGTTGCGCTTCACAAATTTCTTATGAAAACACAAATCTTAGGTTTCAAAGGGTGTTCACAGAACATGACCCAAAGACCTACATTACATTTCTGCAGCTTTGGGCAGTGCCTGGCACAACAGCACCTCAGCCTCTGGGCATGGCTTTAATGCAAATATTAGCACCATCAGCCCTCTCCTCAGATGCAAGCACCAAGAGAAGGTCCTTCTAATGGAGGCCTGGACTGAGCTTTGACCCAAGGATGCAGAAAGCTCAAAACCTTATTTCTCTGATGTATTGTCAAGTTTTTTTCCTGTGTCCTTACTGGATACCAGGTGTACTTTTAGGTGTGACACCTGAACAGCTCTCACTGACCTAAATGTTTCATACCCCTACATTAAGGTAGGAAAGGGCTAGGATGCCCGGCAGTACAAGTGCAAGAGTTATCTTCACACGACTTAGCTTTTCACCTATAGACAGGTCAAGCTGCTCTCAAGGTAACTCCTGTCTTCTGCTCCCTCCACCTCACTTCATGAAAGGGTTCATACAGCCTCCACTAGATTTTGGCCTCTATTCAAAGTCTTAGCGTAGCTTAAGAAAGAAGGAGACCCAAGGAGGATTAAGGAAGGAAAACAGACCTGTTGAGATCAATCTTTCAAAACCCCACAGAAAAATCACTGGAAGAGTCAAAAGGTTCAGGCTATGTTTTTAAAAATGTTCAATTTCAAATGCTTTCAGAAAACCTAAAATTTGCAAAAGAAAAAAAAAATCTTTTTATCCTTACAGTGTTCAAGAATTCACCACTGACTACCTGTGAAAACAGACAGAACTGCAACAATGACTCATTTTCTGTTTGTAAATGTATTGTCTTACCTTTTAAAAAAAGAAGTTGCTCATTAATAATCACTTGGACTTCAAAATCACAGTGGAAATGACTACTTACTGCAACTCCAATTTAGAGTTAAATGCAAGTAAATTAAAAAAAAATTATGTCCAAATATGTTTACATACAAATATTTCAAGACTGGCCTCCTGGTCAAGTAGAAATACGTAAATAAATGCTATTCAATAATTGTGTTCTATAGTGAAAAACAACAATTTTATTCCTTTCTGAAAATGTCTAATCCAGGGTCAAACAAGAGTGATATTTGTATCTGGGTATATAATTATGCCTTTATGAATGACATACTAATAATCTTTCCCCCTCTCCCCATGTGTTGTGTAAGATCAAGAAAACCCATTAGCAAGCCATGCTAATATAGTATCAGGAATCTATAAAAACTAAAATTACAGAAATCAATCCAAAGAAGTGGGCTTCAGTCATCGTCAAATAGTCTAACATACTAAATAACTATAAAAGCTACTATTTTAAGCTAAAGTTTATTAGTGTTTAATACCATTTCAGAAGTACAGTAGTAACACAACTAATCACTAAGATTACTTATTTCTACCATGAACTGACTCTACAACCTGTCTAGCTCATTCTTTCTGGTTTTATTAGCACACGAAAGTCACCAAGCTCTACATTCTTCTGCAGTTATTCAATGAAAAATTACTTATTAGAATTGACTGACTTAACCACATTTCCAGCACTCTGGAGGTTATACCTCTGTTTCGAGAGGCAGAATCTGAAAAGTCAGTGTCCAAAATAATCAACAGCAAATTTCAGCACGAAGTGACCAAGTGATGAAGCTGGATAGGAATCTTGCTAGTTCCATAATAATTTTATATTCTTTCAAACATTTCTGCAGTTTTTTGTTATTGCTAGCATGTGATGCAGGAACATCAAAGGAAAGATACAGAGACTATACAGTACATATCATAGGATGAAATGAAACCTAACTGATCAGCAAATTTAATCTCTAGCTGACAAGAAAAAAATTCATGACCTGTTGGATTTTTCCTCACCTGGTGCTCAGACACTTACCATTTCAGCTTCACATCCCAAAAGATTGGCTGACTAAGGAGACATATTCCAAAATAAATCAATGGCTTTTGCTAGCTTGGCCCATGAGCTTACTCTGAAGGACAATACACTCCAATTTCTGCAGAACTGGAATACAGCTAAGAATGCAGTAATCACTGTATTTAGGAAATCCCAAACAAAGTCAAAGTGAACAGTCCAGGCTTCCAAATAGTTGTGATCGGATAGGGAAGAAAAACAGAGTCCTGAAAGACATCTGCTTGAGTTATTCTCCAAAACCAGGCCCAACTCTCTACATCACTGCATAAGAATTTGTTTATGGCCAGGAGTACTATCGTACGTCACGCACCTCATGCAACTTAATATTACTCCTTGCTGGAAAAAGAACCTTATGGTTTTCTTAGAATCACTGTCCTCCTTTTCAATAAAGACATGTCTACTGGCAAACTTCATCATGTTAATATACAATGGCTACATAAAATTATGCTTCTACAGCTTCTAGGCCAAAAGGGAACCAGACACATAGGCACTACCATGATACCACAATAACGTTTCACAGCATCCCAATGGCAGCCACAGTGGGGTTGCAGCATACACATGAATTGGAAGCTATTCTCCAACCTAATCTCTAACATGACAGTACTTACAAACACCAGAGTCTTATATACATGGCTGCTTCCACTGCTGCTCATGAATCTCTGCTACAAAGTTTGCTAGTTTAGGCAAAGCTCCCACTTCCTGATGCACTTTGAGCAAAAGCTATTATTTCAAAGCAGATTCCTGAAAAAGTCACTTGCCAAGGACTGTATCACCTTTCCTACATTTTCCGATTGCTGTTGAATCTCCTTTCCTAACGACAAATCCTCAGCTTTGCAAGGCAGAATGCTACCACCTTGTTGTCTATCAATTCCTGCGTGCAGCAAGCCTCTTCAGCATGAAGTTTCTTGAGTGCTCTCCAGATTGATACGAACTCCAGCTTGTTTATGCTTAAAGAGATTTGACAGCTTCTAACAGGCACTTAAACTTTGATGTCCCATGGAAGCCCCCCAGCCTATTTTTGAAGCATCTGTTTCTAAAATTTCTGGGGTTAGCATTGCCAAGAAGAAGTGAGGCCTTATTAACATCAGATTGGCTCTCTACCACACTAGAATTTGCCAAGTGCTTTCCAACAAAGCTACAAGATAACTTTCTGGACCTTCGTGCTTCTGAGACACCCCTGAAGCCTCCAGCTGTGGCCATGAGAAAAGTCTGTAAGAGAACCCGAGACCTCACTCACTGATTCTGAGCATGCAATGGCATCATGATTTATTAAAAAAAAAAAAAAAGTCTTCATCTTGAGTAAGAGTCAGGGGTCAAGCTTTCAGGGTTCCATACAAAACCGAATAGTGCTGCACTTAATACAGCCAAAATTTACTACAAAGAAAATAGCAAGCTGCTTAACAAATACATAATGTCTGCGCATAATATTAAAAATCCTCTGAATTTGCTATAATTCAAGCCATTGCCCACTTTAATTAATATTTTACTCTTGAACTTTCCAATGGTGTAGCTAACATACCTAGCATAATAAATCACCACAAAGTAATACACTTATAAATTTGACTGGCAGTATCTTCTTTCCTATTGGAACAGAAGTACTTAGAGTATTAATATTAAGAGCATTCAGGAAGTTACGGAATAAAATTTCTAGGACAATGCTTTTTAAGTGATAGTCTCTCAAATGTCTATCCTTTCCCAAAATAAACTACAGGTACCCTCTCTATTTATATTTGGTCTAGAGATTGATGAAATTTTAAGACAGCTTTATCTATAGGGATTCCAAAGCTTGAAAATTAAGCCTTTCTCCTGAATCACTTTCCAGCATCAGTCTCCTGGGACAGGGTGATGTGCAGCTGCCATGCAGTTCTAGAGGCAACAAAAAATTACTGCCCCAGTTAGGTATTTGGGATCAGGCCCTACACCTGCAATACGCTTTTTGTATGCATTCTCAGGCAATTTACTCATTACTTTGTGCCCCTGCTATCCCTCTTTAGAACATAATATGTCACTCGTTTTCCTCCCGCTTTGCCTGTTCTGAGCCCAGTCATTAAGTTCATGAAAGCAAGTGACCATCCTTAAAGAAATTTATCTTGTTAATTCCCTGAAAATCAGGGAAAAGTACTTATAGCACATCACTATTTTGGAATGGTTTGAGAACAGGGACAGAGGTGAATCCATTTCCATACTACTTGCTGCTTTATCAGAAAATAAGGGAAAACCCTATGCAGTTTATAACTTATACCTACAAGTGTCCAAGTCAAGTGAACCCGTGGATCATGTATTACCAACAACAGCCCTCACCCACATCGAAATCCCTCTGGTCCCCGCAGCTCTCCCCTTCCTCCCCAGCACAGCCTGCCAGTCCTCCATCCTCTCTGCAATGCTCCCCAGTTCTTCCCGTGCTCCCTACACCCCTGTTCCCATTCAGAGCTCTCCCTGTAGAAAGCACTCATGTCATCTGTACCTCCTCTCCCAGCTCCACCTCAAAATAACCCATCTCCCTCCCATGTCTCCTACTTGCATGTTAGACCCATGCCTGGGAGAAAGGCAACATGAGCTGTCGCTGCCTCAGGGTACGAGTTCGCTGCCTGACCATCCAAAACGAGAATGCTTGACAGACACCACCTTCACTGTTGGCAGATCAAACAAATGGTGGGTGGTTGCTGCACAAGGCTGTGGGCTGTGTGTTGCACAAACCTGATTTAGAAGGCACTTAGTAAATTGAAGTCCTTCCACCATAGAACTCAAAACATGTACAGCCAATGTTGGTAAGAGCATGACATTCAGGCCAAGCACATTTCACTGGATTTGTGACTATGTCAAATATGACCAGGAGAGAGTCATTCCTTTTTAAGGACAACACCCCATCCATTCCAAATATTAAGCTGAGGTTTCTGTTCTTAAGTGAAAGAGCTCTGATCATGCAATGCCTCCATTTTTCTCACTGTTGTCACAAGAAAATTATCACTTCCAGATCATATTTGTCAACTGGTCACATTAAGCCTTCCTTAAAATATTTTTTCTCTCTGTCTGACCACTACTCCCCCCCAAATTCCACTACTTCTTCACCCTTCTGTCTTGAGAAGGATCATTCTTCCTGAAGAGAAGAGCAAAACTGTAGGTCTTCAGAAACTGCAGAAATGTTAAGAACAGGTTTTTTTTAAATTATTATTTTATCCTGTCTCTAATCCTTTGATTATGATAGCCTTAAGGACAGTTGGTATCTGACAAGGCTGGGGGTTTTTTGGTGGGTTTTTTGTTTTGGGTTTGTTTTGTTGGGTTTTTTTTAAATACTATTTCTCCAGACAAAATGTACTAGCTTATGTGGAGATTACAATTCAGGTGAGAGTCTCCATTCAGCTGAATTACACACACCTCAAGAAAAGTAGCATGGTACAGAGCAGCATTGTAAACCCTCAAGATCACCATCAGGCAGTACTGTGAGGCCCTTCTTCATGCATCACTGCTCATGGCAAAATTAAGTCATACATAGCAGAAACAGTCATTCATAATGTAAAGTTAACTTTAACTGGCCTCATGTAACATTTTTCATGAAAAAGCCAAAATCCAAGTTATTAGGAAAAAAAGAAATAATATTCAATGTAATAAAATTATCTTCTCTATCAGTTAGCTTAGTTCCTTTACATCATCCATTCTGACTGAATTATTAACATTTCCTTAAAAAGAGAACTATTAGCAATCCCAAAATTTATATTCTGCACTCAATCTAAACAAATATGGATAATTACATTTAGGGAATATTTCAATCCAGGTGTTAGACCAAAAAAATCAAAATGTAATTATTTTGTGCCACCTGTTCCCTGTACATTTAACAGGAATTTTATAAATAGTTTGAAGGCACAACTGTGTGGTTCTGCTTTGAACTCCTGTATGATGCCACTAGCTATTTTCTTAAAAATCCAGATCGGAATAACTATGCAAAATTAACCAACAGGCAAATGTTCATGTTTTTTAGCAGAGAGTTACTAAATTCTTGTGGGAATACTTATCATTTTAACTATAAGATGCTAAAAAGATTTACTCGCCAAAGTTTACAAAAGTAGCCAAAGACTATCTCTGAGAAATGACTGTAAATACTGCAGATAGTTGTTGCAGTCAAAGCACTCACTCTCCTGTAGAAAATAAAACAGTTGGAAGCTTTCAATATTGCTACAATTCAAGTAACCCATCAGGATTTGAGGCCATTTGAAACAGGAATCAGATCCACCACAGAATGAGGGGGGGGAAAAGGGAGAGGGACAGAGGACGGGAGTGGGCTCTCTTACATGACATCTCTTAGGCACACTAAAAATATTTTAATAAGATGTATAAGAGACTAATTTGACAATTAAATGTACCATTGATTAAAACTTAAACCTTTGACTTTATTTTAGCAATATACTTAAACGAGAGACAAACCTTCTGCATGCTGTAACACAAGAAAGACAGACTCCTCGGAGATGATGTACTTGTGCAGACACACCATGTTGGGCACACAGCGGGGGATGATGGTCGTTCTGCTCCTGCTGTACTCACTACTTTTCCTTAGACCCTGACAGAGAACAAAAAGGTCAGTTGTACCCTCAGTTGCCTTTGGAGCCTGCTGTGCTCTGTGTTTATCAACCAAACTAATCTATCCGAGTTACTCTGGGCTTCAGAGAAACCACTCATCTGCTGCTCTATGCCCCTCGGTCCCCCGAGGCTGTGCTGATGGCATCTGGCGCATTTCCAGAGAACAGAAGATGGCACAAAGCTGCCATTAAAATCAATTACATGGGTCAATGTTTTTATTAGAATCTCTCTCAAACTAAGTCATCAGGATGACACTCAGTTATTTCCCCGTGACCTTTTTTTAAAATTTTATTTTTATGTGTGACCAAAAGACACTATTAAAAAAATTCAATTCAAGTTATAAAGACAAAAGAATGTCTTAGCCTTACAGGTAATCCTCACATTTCCATTGTACTTTATTAAAGACAACAACCGCCACAACAAAAAGGAAAGGGAAGGATTAGTCTCCTTGAGAGGTAATGATTTGTGGGAGGTAGCACAGAGATGAAGTTGCCAGAAGTGAAAAAATTGATGTGGGAGGGAGAAAGGGAGGGGAGAGAGAAAGAGGGAAAAAATTATGTCAATAGTGTGACCTATTACGATATTGATAAACATAAGCAGTTAAGTGGGAAATTCAATGTTACCCTATCTGCCAGTAGATAAAGTGAGGTTCTAATATACAATATTCACAAATAATCCCTTCTGAGGAACAAACAGATTTTCTGTACCCTACACATACTTAAGACAAACAACTTCAAAGGCCAGATGCACAAAGTTAAGGCAGGGTTGTAAGCCAGACCTGAAGCAAAGTTACAAAACGTTAACAACTAATTAGAACTGGAAGTTTAGGACACAGTTGTTCAGCTCTTCCTCCCACCAGCAGTGGAATTCCTGTCAAGGGGAGCCTGAAATAATGGCCACAATAATAACACTCGTACTAAACTAATTCTCAACATCACAGATGCTCTGAACATATTAGGATCTTGATCTGAGCACTTTCTGAAACGCAAAAGAATAATGTGAAAAATTTTATTCTGACCAATTAACTATTTGTTAATTCAATCATTTAGTAACATTAAACTCAGTTTTTGCGGCCTATTGATGTAAAACATAGGAAAGCAATTTTTATAAGACCAGTAGTCCATTTCATCTGGCATCCACTTTGGCCAATGGCATATTCTCCAGCTAAAGGAAGACCAAATTCAGTTGAATATGAGGAAGAACTTCTTTACATTGAGGGCAATAGAGCACTGGAACAGGCTGCCCGAGGGGGTGTGGAGTCTCCTTCTTTGGAGATATTCAAAACCCACCTGGACAATGTCCTGTGCAACCTGCTCTAGGTGAACCTGCTTTAGCAGGGGGGTTGGACTGGATGATCTCTCGAGGTCCCTTCCAACCCCTGCCATTCTGTGATTCAAATACAAGGTGTTGTGCATATAGTTGAGCTAGGGAAAATTTTCACATTCATCAGCAGCCTGTGAGTGTCCTGAGCCACCAGGGCTTTAGAGATGTTTTAAGCAGCACACTGAAACTGAACCTATACTGAAGCCTGCTAAAGCGTTGACCTCAATAACCAGCACATCTGAGCACTAGAGACTTACAGAGGAAGGAAGGAAGGGAAAACCACTGAACACCAACAAAAAGAATTCCAGTGCACTTATTAGGGATATATGTATTAACATAACAATGTATCACAGAGATAACTCTCTACATTAGGTGCAAATTGATCTCTGTGTAGTGGCGTAATTTAGGAGGCCAAACTGTTTTAGACTAGTAATAAAAGACTTTACTCACCTTCAGTATAAAAGTCTGCTGTGTTCTAGTGTCCATTACAAGCAAAACCTAAGCAAAAAGTATTCAGAGAAATATTTAAGATTCACATGAGTAAGTTAACACAGTTCTTAAATCTAATGTTGAATATTCTTACAAAGGAAGTGATATAAGTAATGATTTAAAAAAAAAAAATTCAAGTCCTGCAGCATACATTTGATAGGCAGTCTTTTTTTAGGAAAGAAATATGATGGAGGATATAGATCTCTAGAGAACTATCAGAATGTCACCTGATTCCCAATCAGCTAACTTAAAGTATGAATCCTAACTTGGTAACAGAAATAACCAGTACTTTATAATTACAGCAATAATCTAGCAAAGCCCAATTTATAGAAATGCAATGGTAGCAACACAATGAAGCACAAAAAGTAACCTTCACATAGCATTGCCTTCCTATGTCACTTCACTTTAATCCTCACTGTACCTACCTTCCTTGTGCAACACTTTTCACCATCAGGCTTCCTGTAACATCAAATGTGTTGCCTACCAGTGGGTTACCAGAGGGTTTTTTTGCAGGGTGGCTACATACCTGCTTTCCAGGATGCTAAACTAAAAGCTGGCCACACGCATGCCCAGGCCACAAAAAAAAGTGTTTTATCAACTGTATAGTCACTGCTGTCTCATTCCTCCACTGCCATTTTTGTTTTGCAGCACTCATAAGCCACAACAGAAATGGCTGCAAGAAAGTCCCTTTGTGCCACTGTGAACTAGCACTAAGGTAACAACAACAAAAAAAAGATTATGTATTTAGGGTGAAAAGAGTGGATGGGTTCGCTGCAGAGAGAACACCTACAGCTGCAGGGGGGATCTCTGTTAGGAATGCATCACCTCAACTTAAAGCATTTTAAACACAGCACAGCAAAGAGAGACGTACTAAATAATGACTACCCTCTTAGCAATCTCCATTTATTTATGTGTTGAAAACAAAACAAACAAAACAAAAATGTATTTGGGAAACTGCATCTTTAGGGAGCTGGAACCCTCCGCATCTCCGTCTTCGAATCACCCTGCTCAGGATATTAATTGTTTTCAAACTCCAAGAACACAGATGTACTTGGAAGTACAGCTGCAAGACAGCAGCACAAGCCCAACCCTCCTCTAGGAACTAGAACAAGAGTGTGCACTCACTGTTTATTTACAACAGACATTGTAAACTTCCAGTAAAAATATTCACATACAGTTATAGCAAAATATTTAGGCTGCAAAATCAAACACCTAAAGGGCTGCAAATGCCAGCACTGGGGTTACCAAACTTTGAGTTCAACAGGCAAGATGGAGCAACTCCAAGTCAATAGACCGATGCAGTGAAGACCAAGTCAGCTCGCATCAGAAAAGACTTCTTGCAGAGGAACAACGTGTCAGGAATAACATGGTGCTGGACTCATCAGGTGACAGAAGGACAACACAGCACACGGTCTCCCTTATCTCCCTGCTGTGTAGGGCAGCGATACAGTCATGCCCTACTATCTCTGAAGGGTGAAGTCTACCAGGCTGAGATGCTGACTCTCCCCAACACCAAGGGAACTGTGGAAACAGCCATCCTGTGCAGTGCCCATGGCGAGGTGAGGTGGAGACGTGCAAAAGGCCCAGGCAGCTGGGCCAGGAGGGGAGGTGTCAGGGCAGGGTTGTGCAGGCTCCCCCCAGGTAGCAGCTGCAGCAAAGCAACCCTTGTGCTTTGGGATGGCCACATTCAAAACACTGCCCCTGTCTCTCCCCATCGCACTCCTGAGCATCTCAAGCAAGAGGAGTAGAACCAGAGTCTCTCCTAATCCTTTCTCTCTCACCAACTTTCACTAAATAAAATAAAGTGACAGACACCCCTCCATCTCAAAGACCTACTCTTTTACTAAGGTTGCACCCAATTTTAAAAGCTGTTCTATATCTTCTGGCAAAAAAAAAAAAAACATCAACAGAAGCTGGTGTTACTGAGATTTTTTTTGACAAAGGAATGACACACAGCTTCCATGTCAAGGGCACAGTAAAGAAAAGCAGACGTCCCTAGGCCACTGAGTTTGCCAAACAACTTTTCAGGCCTCTTACCTGGGGCTTCCAGGAACAGTGGAAACCAGCTGAATAAATAGCAATTGTAAAACTGGTTTTGTTTCCCTTGCTTAACCAAAAGGTGTAAAATTAAAATTTAAAAACAAACAAACAATAAAGAAAACCAAAAGAACAAGTGAAAAATAAAAGCCACTTTACAAGAGGTACCAAAAGAAGATAAAAATAGTTCGGAAACAACTATGTGTTTACAGTCACTTTCCTCCTCCTTCTCCCAAGTTTGTTTGTAACTAGACACTGTTCACATTGAGGCAATAAATACAAGAACATATGTGATTTTTTTTTTTAAATGTGCCCTTTGACTGTCAATATCTCCCAAACAGGTGTTGGCTAAATGATTATAAATTGGCCTCTGGATACACCTCTTCAACTGAGCCGTACAGGACTGGCGATAATATAATTAGACCTAAAAACATCAGGCTCGTGAATGCTTTCCATCTGTTTGGCAATAATGTTTAGTTAACAATAGTCTTTAAAAGAAGCACCTTCAACTTCAGTTCTTAAAGTTATTTATAGGGCCATTCTTAACACACCAGCACTCTTGCTAACAAGAGCTTTAGCCACTTGGAAATTATTAGCCATACGGCTGTGTATGAAAAGGAATGGCAGCATTTAACATCTGTATCTCTCCAGATTTACAAGCATCAACCTCATTTAAAGTCATTTCTTAATGAACAGTTCCGTGGTCTGTATTAATATTATAGTTGCATGCACAAAGATCATAAGGAGCCAAACATTTTTTTAATACCAACAGTAGGCCAATCAGTAATGAAGCTGTCAGCATAAAGGACAGAATAATAGCTTCTTTAACCCTCAAACAGGATTTGTTCATTTGTAGAGTAGAAGACACCAATTTAAAAACTGCTCATGGGTTTGCTCACCTTTATAAAGACAAAAATCTAATTTGGTACTAATTTGATACAATTGTCTTTCCAATAAAAGGCTCCTAAAGCCATCTTTTATTCCATGATAAAACAACTGCTATAACTAAAACTGTCATGAAATAATTACCTTTGATAGCATACCTTATTGCACAAATACAATTAATGTATTCCTCTCTTTCATTTTTCACACTTGCTTATCAGCACTGTATTAGCATATGGTGTAACAGAACAGATTACTGAGCCCTTGCCCTATAAGACAACATATAGAATGACTACCACTAACGCGAATAAAACAGACAAAGGGTCCCTTCAGGGATAGCTTCATCTGTTGTTATATTACAACATCAAAATGAAAGTAGCAGCTACAGTTTTATAACTGTAATAACAACAAATAATATTTGTGTGCCTTTGAGGTTAACTACCTAGATGGACTAACCAGTTTTACTAACCAGCTTCTTTCTTCTTCCTTTCCATCAAGCATCATACCATTCCCCAATCATGATCATCTACAGCTCCACTTCATTTCATGGAAAATTATTTCTTTGCTGATTCAGTACTGACCTTTCTGCAAGACTATTTACCTCTAAAGGAACTCCAAGAAGCCCAGGAAGAGCCATAAAAGTAACTTTAGGAATTTACCTAGTGATGCTCCATTTGGCTCTGGCAGACTGTGGACTTCACATGGGCCCACCAAACTAAAAACCTGCTTCAACAGGAGACAGCCTGTATGCATATTACAAAAAGGTGGTTTAACCAGAGTCACCCAAATAATTAAAGGGTTATGTGAACTAATAAATCACTATCAGAAAACTGACATTTCGGGGGGGATGAGAACAGGTAAGAGACAGTCACAAGTATATTTACTTGACTTTTTATCACACATCCAGAGCAGAGAAAAGTGAGCAGCTCTTGGATGCATTACCAGGCTGCTGCAGAAGCGCATACAGTAAGCCTGTCATTGACCCAAATGCCAACTTATTCTCCTTACCTCATGCTTTACAGCCAATTCTAGACAGTAGTGCTATCCCAACAAGTCTTTCCTGTTTGCATTCCTTCACACTTCTCTCCCATTGCAAAAGGCAGTGCTTCAGTAATTCTTTTTCTAAGACTTCTTTTTAAAATGCAAAGTGACAGATCTCCACCCTAATGGCATGACGGAACGAAACAGGATTCCACATAGCAATCCCTACGGCATAACTCTGTTCTTCTCCAGAGCAGATCATACAGAGATTCTCACATTAGACTAGGCTGCTCCTACCTCACATAAGCTGCTGGAACCTGTTTCGCTGATGATGAGTTACTGCGTAACTTGTAATATTCAATACCTCCTAACAATGAGCTGCCAGCTGTAACATTCAGCATCCTATCTCAGAGGGGAGGGAAAAGAATTCACAGCAGGGCACTCCTGGGCACTGAGCAACTAGACTGTGACACAAAAGGAGACTAGGCAAAATCCTATTTGTTATACTAATGTACGAACAGAGTCAAGGTCTACACATCATGCTGGCTTTTATGGTACTGTTGCTTACTCATTCTTTCCCTGTTTTTCTGCGTTGATGACAACTTCAGCGTGGCCAAAAACACTGACAGGCAAATAGCAATTGCCACATATAAATATATAATGTAAATAAGCATCTTCAGCAGCACAGACATCCCTATTCTGTACAAGCACTTGAGCTTTCAGGCACAATCCAAAAAACAAGTGAACACAGCAGCACTACATGGCAGCATCTCAGTAAAGTGGCAGACAGCAATAACCCTCCATGATGCCAAATAGGATTTTCTACTTGTGATTTTTTTCCCCCCTAAGTCAAGGGTTAATTCTAATGCCGACAGCAGCTACTTAAAAAAATTAGCTTCTTAGATTTGATTTACAGTGTATCCAACAGCTTAGTGGAAAATAAATTAAATTCAATTCAATATAGTAGGTACAATTAATTGGAGAAAAATAAAATAAAACCTGCCTGGTAAATAACCATAGTCTAGGTTTAAGAAAACAGTTAATTTTAGGATCCTTTAAATGCACAGAAATTAGCAAATGTTTCAGTATGCTAATTTTTTTTTAATTAA